CGGAACAACTTACTCCTAGCGGCCGCGGGAAGCAACTTCGACTACATTTTTTGCACTTTACCTTCTAAAAATTTCCTTTCTCTGCCTATCCTATTTCCCCACCCCCAAAACTCTATAACCACCGTTTTTTCAGGACAAAATGCTGGGACTAGGGGCATATGAGTGGGCCTACATAAGCTACTTTTGCCCTTTCCATAAATCAGGAACAGGATATACGAACATTTTCAGTTCATTTTGGATCCGTGAGTCTCGAGCTCTTGCAGGCAAACCCCGGCTACACGTCCAAGCCTGAAGCTGAATCAACTTATCTTCGAGCATTGTTAAGTTCAATGATATCCCACCTGGGGTTGGAACCCGCCTTACTTCCCCGAGTCGATGCGTCTTGGTATTAAGGGTTTTTGTCATTTGGGTACTTCCTGAAACAAAGCCCACGTTTCTACCTGCATTTGTTCTCTGTGCTCATTAAGAGTTTCTTTCGTGGTATTTTTTGCATTTTTGTAAACTAATAGTCCAAGACTTCTTGGATGTGACCGCATACCTAGAGTACATGCAAATAATAGAGTGGGTAAATCTCATAAACAGTGTGCATATTCCTACGAAGTAATCATGGTAAAGGAACTATTGTCAATTCTCTCCAAATTACTAAATGAGTTTTTTCATAGGCTTAAAATCAATTGGAAAATTTACCGCTAAAGCAAAGACAGAACTTCGAAAAAAAATAGTTTGAAGCAAAGGAGAAAGCCTACTTTAGAGGGCTAGTGTATCATAGCGAACAAAAAAACTGTATAGTACAATTAACTCTTATCGTCACTGCACATCCATTTACATCAGATCGAACATCAGGATATACGGAAAGCACCGTAATTGGCTTTACTTTTACCGAAAAAAAACAAATACGATGATGTCCAGACATAGAGGACGCGAGTCGATTAATTTTTATGACTGGTGGAGGTGACCAGGTAAACACTCAGTGTAACATTCGGCATAAAAACGGGATATCAGTGATTAAAGCTCGGCTCACATCAAGCGTTTTCCAGCTGTGTCGTAGGCTTCTCAATTCCCCCTAGGCGAATGGCAAAAAGGCGGTTATGCACACCTGCAATCATGTGCGAATTTTTCGACGAGGCTTAAAAATTACCAGTTTGCAAATAGAATACTAGGCTTTTTAGTTTTTGATCCATTTCATTTAAACTCCTTGGATTGCTTGATGTATGACGACCCCCCCCTGCAGCACACTAAACTGACAAAAAAGTATTAACAGCAGTCTTAAAGTTAGTGAAAACATGCAGTGGTTAGGCGGAATTGGACCCAAAAAACAATTACTTGCTCAAAAAGGCCAAATAATCGTGTAAAAAGTACGGCAGTTCATTTACAGTTTGACTGAGATAAGCCTTGTCGAAGTATAAAAGCAATCACGACTTCAACAAGTATGCCTGTTTGAGAAAGCTGGGAGCCAGACACATACCTTTTTCGTGGTTCCACACTGCAACCGGTCCTCAATAACAAAACGCAGTGCCTCTAGAGGAGAGGAAGCGGTGCGCGTAGGACCAGTACCTTCAACGGCAGCCTTCATCGAGGGTCTGATGGCCGTATCTGACTCAATCATGGAGAAAAGGAAGGAGAGGAACTCTTGGACGTCCTGTTGCCGTTTACTGGCGAACTCTGCGTGGTTTTTGCCGATGAGATATTTGAATAAACGAGGTCGAATGCCTAAAGGATTGGAGGGGGGAGCACAAATGAGAGATCGAATTCTCGAAGTCAACCTGGCACCGGTGACATTTTTAATCTGCCAGAGTAGTACTGTGTGTGTGCTTGACCATCGATTTCGATGAAGTCCAG